GTTGCCGCAGTGCGCCCGGAGTCAGCGCGTTGAAAAAAGGTTTGAGAGTCTCAGCCTTGGACAGACTTTGGTTTCTTCCTCCGGCTGCCACAGGCTTTAGCGGAAGGTGCTCGCCCGCAGTCCTGTGCCCAGAGGTGGGTGGGGAGACGCCGCAGTGGTTTTGCAGTCGGCACCCCGCCCACCGAGCTTCCCTCATTCTGGGTTCGTGGAGGGGAGAGCGGCCCGCGGCGCCCTCTGGTGGCGGAGGAGGCAGAACACAGGCGGGAGCAGGACTCCTCTGGTTCCTGGGTTCCCCCCGCCCCCATCCCCCTGCGGTGAAGCTGGGGGAGAGGGAACTGCGGGAGCCAGCGTGGGTGAACTACAGACCAAAGCCTTGCAGGCTGCTTTAGGGATTTCAGTCTTGAATGTCCAGTGGTTAAGTGAGAACATGGACTCCAGAGCCAACCTACTTGGTTTGACTTCTGTCACTTTTCCTTGGAAAGTAACTTCACAGGGTGATCTGACCATAAATCCCTAACTGGGCAAGTCAGGTTGGGTAATCAACCCCAGGCATGTACTAGTAACTTTTAGTAGAAGGTTCATCTTTGCCTTAAGCAAGCCCTGTCCGTTGTTTCTGTGCATCTGGGTTCATACACCTTTGAAATTAACCATAACCACCCTCAAGAAAGCACAGAACCTCGTTAACTATCCTGTAATCCAATCCTGGCCTTGCTTTTTCCCACCTTTATGTAATCTTCCTTACATTCCCTCCTTAATTTTAAACGCATAAAAGAAACTGCAAGACTGTTATTCTCCGGAGCACTTGAGATCTTGTTCCCCAGCCTATGTCATCAGTTTGGCTCAAATAAACTTATAAAAATTCTCTGCAGGTTTGGATGTTTCTTTTGTAGACACTGCCTAATTCTATGATTTTGAGCAAGTTACTTGACATCTCCCTACCTCCATTTCCTCAACTACAAAATGGAGATAATGCACTAACCACAGGGTTATTGTAAGGATAAAAATGAGTTAATACATGTAAAGTGTTTGGACATAATTGTTAACTTCATCCTCAACAACGGTAAGCAGTTGACCTGTTTGGTTAAGCAAGGGAGTAATACTGTCAGATGTATTTACTTATTTATTTTTATTTTTTTAAGTTTTATTTATTGATTTTAGATGGAGAAACATCAACTTGTTCTACTTATTTATGCACTCATTGGTTGATTATTGTATGTGCCCTGACCAGAGATCAAACTGGCAACCTTGGTTGTATCAGACAACACTCTAATCACTTGAGCTACCCAGCCAGAGCTGTCAGATGTTTAGTACAGCGATTTTCAACTTTTTCCATCTCATGGCACATCAACTAATTACTAATATTCTTTGGCCCACCAAAAAAATATATATTTTTTTGCCTATCTGACAAAAAGAATAGGTATGATTTTTTTTCTTTCTTTAATCCTCACCCAAAGATATGTTTTCATTGATTTTTTAGAGAGAAACATTGATGTGAAAAAAAACATCGATGGGTTGCCTCCTGTACACACCCCAACTGGGAATTGAACCTGAAACCTCGGTGTGTGTCCTGACTGGAAATCAAACCCACAACCTTTTGGTGTATGGGACAATGCTCCATCAACTTAGCCACCCGACCAGGACAAAATAGGTATAATTTTTATTCATTCACATCAGACGGCTATTGTGTTGGTAGTTGTCATTTTTTATGTGACAGTCTGAGGGAAAAGAGGTCAGTGCCCCTGACTAGTCAGGTATTGCATGTTTTAAAAAATCTGTGGCACACCAGTTGAAAATCGCTGGTTTAGAAAGTAACATTCTGGCTGCTGTGTGGGAGGAACACAAACCTTTCTATGCCTCATGTCCTTCTTCCCTTCCCCATACCTATTCAAACCATAGACTACTTTGTTAGGTGGGAGTGGGCAACAGTAATTTCGGTAGGTAATGTCCCAAACTCTAATCCCAGAGGCTAGCATGCTTGTGGCACATGTTTCTAAAATGAAATTGACTACCATGGCTTACCAGGCTCTACA